TTAACAAACTTCTCTGGATTATTCAATTTTCCCTGAACAATCCACTTAGTGCCACTTTTTTCTTTAAACAAATCAAAAATTATTGCAGTATCAATTCTTGTTTTTAAATTACAACGTATCACTGCAACATTATTTTTAATATCCGATAATTCACAATGCAAATCACTATTACTAATATTTATTTCATTTAAAATATTTTTGATATCCATATTGTTCCGTTTAAATTTCGTAGATAATCGTAAAATTAATGTATATTAATATATTATTCAAAATGAATTGCAAATAAATGAAATAATCAAATAAATAATTTATAAACGTTAATAACAGAGTTACAAACAACAATATTCAAATTTATAGTGATAACAATTTAGTATTATTGATAACGATCTGCTGACCAATAAGCACAGATTTCTTTTGATAGATATATTATAAATTATAATCATAGACCTATTATTATAATGATATGATTATTATAATAGGTCTATGGTTATAATGTACATGGAATATAAAATGCTGTATGTAATTATGTAAATTACAGTATGTGACATGTGTGTGTTTTAGGTACACGACACGCGTCTATTATCGTCCATAACAAGACATCTCTATTTATAGGTATAATAAAAAATAAATTTCAATTTAATCTATTTGTCGTTATCAATATTTTAAACCCGTCAAGGTCTGTACAATACATTAGTTCGCTGATGAGATCAATAACACGTAACATTGTAATAAACCAATACTTTTTATTTTTACTTTTTAATAGAATCATTATTTGTCAATTTTCTTCACCATGATACTGTATGCCGTATGGGTATCACGTGCTATTTAAAAGCATTAATTTAAATAATTTAAGTTAATACAACGTTAAAATGTTATAAATGTTGAATTATGAGTTAATAGTCATAAAACACTGTATTTAATTTTATATGTAGATATGAAGACAATTATAAATCATAACTCGGTTCAAAAGAATTTAATAATTAATTTTTATTTAATTTTCAATTTGATAATAAATAAAATATGAGTAGAACATTATATACGTTTTGGAAATCATGAATAATTCTTAACATCAAATATTTAGTATAATAATCAAATATTCCATCGACATAGACCATAATAATTAACCAAGTTAAAAATTTTAAATTCGAGTAATACGAAAAAATAATTGTACATGTTTTCATTTTCATTACTGAATAATAATATATGAAACATTGTTTATGTTTTGTTTTAATATTTTAATACGTTATCCTTGGTGACTTGGTGTATTCAATGGTGTATTTTAAATTTATGGAAGGGTTTTATACGTTTATTTTCATTTATATTTTTCCTTATTGACTTATTCTATTAATATCCTTTATTATTATTTCTTTTTAGCACACATATTATTTATTAATTTTTGTCGAATATTTTTTCTGATCTTTTATTTACGTCTTCTATGCTTTTATTTTACATCATATACCGATATACTAACAGTTGGATATTTAATTTATGGTATTTTTATTTTTTATTTACAACATTGTGATTATATTTATTTTCCATGTTTAATATCAAACTATCAAAATCATTTCAACTTGCATAATTTGTTAATATATCTCCAAGGTACTTCAATTTTTTTTTCATATAGTTCACTAGACTCAGCATGTTATCAGATTAGATAGATATTTCAACCACAGAATAAATTCTGTATTTCAACGTAGTGTTGTGATTGTGAACCAGTTGTGGAGTGCGGTTAACAAACGTCGAATCAAAATGAATTTAACACCTATTTGAATTTGCTATTGTATAAATGTATTAACATGTGGTTAGTATTATATACTTTTAAACACTCGAGTAATGTCACAATTTATGATAAGTATTTATAGCACGAGTACAGTCAACAAGTCGCCACGTAAAAATAGTGTGTCTAAGTCGCCCTGAGAGCGCTCTTATACATTGGACAACAGCCGGATCTTATTGTCTATTACAACTTACAAGGTATTATTTCAAGTATTCTCTTTTAGTACTTTAGTTTTAAAAACTAACTTTTCCTTGTAATATGTATTAACAACGATTAACGTAGTGCAATATATATCAATGTGTAATACATATCTATTTGTGTGGTCCTACATGCTGCAGCTATCATAACAGTAGTTTAAGACCTAGATAAGTATAAAAGATAATAATATAATATAATAGTTTTCAGATAAAAACAAAAATTTTTTTGTAAGTATATTATTCCCCAAATATATTTAATAAAAGGTTAAGGCTATAAGTATATATATTTTTTTTATTTTAATAATAATTGTATATAATTAATATTCAATAAGTAGTACCATAAATGTAAACTATAAATATTAATTAATTAGTTCTATTTAAGATTAAGACCATTGTCTAAAATATATAATATGTATTGTATTTGAAAAAAAAAAGGTAAATATTGGTTGTTGGTGAACTGGAAATATACTGTTTTGATTACTATTTATTAAACAACATGTTTGTAGTCCTCTAATGACTGACACAACCACACAATGTCACTTTATAATACCATTTACACTAATGTCTTTTAAGTATATTTTTTAATTGTGTCTAGACAATAATAAAATAAGTGAAATGTGAATGATTCAAAAATCACAATTTGCAAAATATGTAGGTATAACTGATATAATTATTATTAAACATAAAACATCAATATTTAAAATGAATTATTTTTTGGTAAATACTGATCTCAATATTTTTTATATTTAAAATATATTTCCATGTTAGTTATTTTATTGCTGAATGAAAATTTTTTAATTATTTACTTATATAAATTTAATGTTTTTGTAAAAAAATTACCCAAACTAATTTTTGACAAAAGTTCCTCAAGCTATTTTTTGTAAATATATTTTATAATAAGATATCCTAGGTCTAACATTATTGTAGTTTCTTTTCATTTTTTAGCCTTTTCATGTAAATTATATATTTAATCTATTAATAGTTTTTTTAGTTAATAGTTAAAAAAATATATTCAAAAAAGAAAATGACAGTTTCTTTAATGTGTACTACTAAGTAGTTACTTAGTTAAACATCTAGTATTCGACATGCATACATTATTCTTCTAATTATGTAATTCTATATATTTTATTTACAATTTAATTACATATTGAATTTATTATATCTTTCAACTGTGTAGACTAACTACACATTAGGTAAAATTTCTTTTTAATATTTTGCAACGATGTAAGGACTTATAATTATTAGGTACATAGACCATGAATCATAAACCATAAATTAACTAACTTAACATACATTAAATTATAATGATACATTTGATTATCTAATATCATAATCAAAGTGGATAAACAAAACTCAAATTTTCAAATGTTTATAAAATGATCAGTTTTGAAGTTAAGAGTTTGAAACCATTAATATTAGATTCAGAATAAAATGTATACTTCAAACTATGTTCTATTATTTTACATCATGTGCATTAAAGATTTAGTTTAAACTTTGAACTAAAAAACCATTAATTCATACTCATTTTCAGTTAATTTATAAAATGAAAATTTTAAATTTTAATTTATTTTATTAAAAACTTATACCATTAAAATGTACATGAATCATTAACCATAAAATTCTTAATTAATTATACATTTAATTAAAATTACATTTTTTTATAAACTGAAAAATTATTATTTTATAACATTATTATATCAGATATTTAAGACTCAAATTACTAAATGTTTATAAAACAATCAGTTTAGTTTTAATTTTTTTGAAACAGTTGCCATTAGATTAAAAATTTAATTTAATTATAGTGACCTGATATAAAATTGAAAACATTTACAATTGAAATATTGATGTTCTATTGTAAAAACCTGTCATTAGAAATATTTGGCTAGGTAATGTGTACCTACATTATTCTATCTATTTTATTTATATTTAATTCCTATGTATTTGTATTTATATTGTTTATTTGATTACTCTCTTTATTCAATTTTCATTATTAACTTTAAAAACTAGTTATTTTTTTATTACTACATCTCCTTTTAATAATGATTATTTATAATGAAAATTATATGAAACATAATTGGAAAAATAATAAATATTTTTATGCATGATCATTGAAAACAATAAAAGTCTAAACACATAAGGCTCGATTACACTGAGCGATTTTACACGCTAGTCGCCGGCGATTAAAGTCGCGCGCGTGTGAGCGTGCAGCGACTTGTCCGATTACATTACACGATTAAATTCGCTTGCTCGCTAGTCGCGCATACGCATTTATGTGATGTATTATGTGACAAGAAGTTGTCATTGTTAATTAATTCGTTTTCTTTTATATCTAAAATTTTAAAATTTATAATGAAGTGGAATTCTAATAACATTGTTGACTTTTTAAAAATTTACGAACAGTATCCATTACTTTGGAACATAAAACATAAAGACTATTTGAACATAAAATTAAAAGATGAAACATTTAAAAAGTTGTATGCAGACCTCGATAATGAAGGATTGGTAATGGGAATAGACGAAAAGCAACTCAAGGCAAAAATTAAAAATTTAAAGGATGTTTATAGAAACGAGCTTGCAAAAATCGAAAAAAGTAGAAAAAGTGGAAGTGGAACAGATGAAATATATTCTCCAAGACTTACGTGGTTCAAGTCTGCCAAGTTTTTTTGTGAAGTTTTATCTACAAGGCATAGCCAGTCAAATTTGGTAAGTTTGAATATTATATAGTATAATAATATTGTTATATTTTTATTATTTGTTGATAATTAATACCAATATTCAAAGTTATGGAGAAATTGTTTCCTATTTAAAATTAGTATGTATAGTGTAATGTGCAATGATAAATATTTCATAATGAATAAAACTCAAACAATATAAATAAAATAATATTTTGTTTAATTTTATAAATATAAATGTAACGCAAATGAATAGCTTAACATGCATTTATTTGCTTATTTTAATTATACTTTAAATTTAATTTTTCATAATTGATTACATAAAAAGTACTTAAATAAATTCATTAGGTATTTTTATATAGTTATACCAACTTTTTCCCATTGCCACGGTAAAGGATTTTCCTCTATAAAATATTTTGCCAGTGAACTCCTAACATCTTCTGCAGTTCGTTTATAGTTGTTGCTGCCCATTCTATTGACAGCTTCTAAATTATTCACGTGTTTTCTCCATTCTCCAGGAATAATATTACCGTTGTTAAAATCCTCTTGGTCAACTGCTTGTGAAGGTATATAACTGTTTGGAGTAGTTTTGCGTAGCCAGTTGTGTAGACTGCAAGCTGCATATATTACTTTATCTATTGTTTTTGGCTGTAGATCAATTGGTTTAGAAAATATTCGAAATCGCCACACCAAAATGCCAAATGCGTTCTCCACCACCCTTCTAGCACGTGAGAGACGATAATTAAAAATCATTTCATAATTATTAAGTGCAGTTTTACTATATGGTTTTAATAGGTTTGTTCTAAACGGAAATGCACCATCCCCAATAATAACACATTTTTCGGGTATCCCTAAGGTATTATTTTCCAATGCGATATTCAAAGTACTGTCTCGAAATACTGCACTATCACTAGCTCGGCCATTAGCTCCTATATCGATGTATGTAAAACAATAATCACCGTCAACCATTGCGAACAATATAATACTAAAGGTTTTTTTATAATTATAAAATGATGAGCCAGAACCAGGAGGTCGTTTAATTATAACATGTTTTCCGTCGATTGCGCCACAACACATTGGAAAATTCCAACGATGAAAAAATGTATCCTTTATTTTCCCCCATTCATCAGCAGTTGCAGGCACCTGAGAATTTTAAATTTAAATTAAGTTTATATTGTATGATAATTTTTTATATATATGAAATTATATAATAAATACCTAATCTTAATTTCTAAATTGATATTTTTGTTTAGATGTTAACCAATTTAAGTCAATGTTCAAATGAGGTGGAATCTAACACAATCGAAGAAATTGAAAAAGAAGGTTCAATAAGGGGATCCAGAAATGATTTTCAAATAGATGAACCAATTGGAAGATCAAGACCATCGCCTACAAAAATGAAACCACCACCAGTAAAAAAAAATAAAAAGCAAACAGTCCCTGATATAGCAATTGCAATCGAGCAATTAGACAAAATCGCTCAGAGTGCATATGAAGAAAAAGCTTATGATCAGTTTGGAAAATATGTTGCATACGAGCTTCGCCAACTACCACAACGCCAAGCTATTTTATTACAGTCTGAAATTCAAAGCTGTATAACTCGTATCAGATTATCAAGTTTGGAACCTCTACCTCAACAATACCACCAACAACCATTACCATATACGGAACAACTTCATGTAAATGTCGCATCACCTTCTACCTCGTCAAGTTCTATAAGTAATTATACATCTACTCCGCGTGTGAACGAGGAGTACGATATGTTAAGCCAAGCTATCATAAATTCTTTTTCAGACAATGATCAATAATTTGTATAAATTTAAAATTAATTATTATATTATACAATTTAATAATGATATAGTTTACTTAAAAAAATAAATACAAGAATTTTGTTGATATTTAGTTTTATTTAACTTTATTTATTAGTACCTTATTTCTTTTAAATAATACTTACTTTAATAAACGGTTCTAATACTTGAGAAATCGCTGTAAGTACATCGGGTAAAAATACTGAAATCGTACATTCAGAAACGCGAAAAAGATATTGTAAAGACTTAAATGAATCGCCAGGTGCTAAATAACGTAAAGTTATTTCCAGTTTGATTTTCGACGGAATCGCCATTCTCATTTGAGTGTCTTTTTTCTTAATTAGTCCGTCAATCATCTGTAACAATGTATCAAACTGGGCCCCGTTCATCCTTAGAATATTTCGGTAGGCTACAGCGTCTTCGTCTTTTAATTCTTTTAATAATGTGCTAGATGCACCAAATTTCTCTCGCCTTGAAATCCAACTTCTGATCCATAATCTTTTCTTTTTATACTTTTTATTTTCTAATTCCTGTCGCAATAAATGAGAAATCACAATAACTCCCGCGCGAACTACAGCTTCCGACATTTTAACCAGTCACTATTCGCTGGCATACTAGCGATTTCTCCAACTAGGGCGATTACATTGAGCGATTTTACTCGCTGAATTGTAAAGACGCCAGCGACTAGCGACTAAAGTAGCCCGGCCATCAACTTTAATCGCGGGCGAGCAGCGAGTATTCAACACGCAGCGAATAAGCGACTAAACCGATTACATTGAGCGACTTTGGTCGCAGCGAGTTAATTCGCCGGCGACTAGCGTGTAAAATCGCTCAGTGTAATCGAGCCTTTAGGAGTTAATTCGGGGAGACTGGCCCCGTCTTACTCCACACAAATTTGTACTTATTTGATTAAAATAAACGATGGCGGCCGGGAGGAAGTAATGCGAAAGCGGTGCCCTTCCGGTTGTCGATTAAACGGAAAAAAAAAAAAAAAAAAAAAGGTTAGGTTAGAGTTTAGTAGCGCACAGTCGTCGGTCAAAGCTGCAAGTACTTCGACTCCAACTGCTCGGAAGCCCGCCCCCTAGTGGCAGTCGCGAACAACACCACCCGTATCACCACGTTATCCCCGGACCCCGACACCGGCCCGTTAACAAACCTCCCGCGGAAAACCGCGGAAACGCCTTCACAGGCTAGACGCTCGGCCACCGCTGCAGCGGTTATTCGAGGATAACTCGGCAGGGAGGGCTCGGAGCGTCTCGGGAGCAAAAATTTCCCCCCCCCTGCCACCCCACCTCCCACGACCACCTACGATAACCTCCCGAAAACCCGAACCCGCTATCACCCCCAAGAGCGGATATAGCGTTCAAGAAAGAGACAGTGAGGAAGACAAAAGCAGGTTCAAAGTATTCTCGACAACAAGAACGCCGGCGGCATCCCAAAAAGGGCACGAACAACAGTTCCTCTCGAGACCACCCAAAAAAACATACCAGATACCCGGGGCACGTCCCTAGGATGTCGGACCATGAGTGGGCGGATCAAGTTTGGGACGACGATCCCGAAGAGACCAAAGACATAAGTTTGCTTTCACCGACCAGCCGATACCTGATAACGGGCAAGCTCGACTCCCCGCTAGGACCATCCGCAAAAAGGAAGGGCAGAACCAGCCCTCTGCAGAAGTCCACTACGGGTCCTACTAATCTCTCCTCGAGCCTCAACTCCATGAAGGCTACCCTCAGCTCTGCGGTCAGCGTTGTTAGGATCGAGTCTGCCAAAACTGACGTCCCAGGACTCCACAGACTCTCAACGTTTCTGGCTGATCTCACCAAGATCCTAGACGGCATTCTGGCAGAGAAGAGGAATCTGGCCTCCCCCCTACGTCGCCGACAAAAAAGAAGCCGAAGAGTGCTGTAGACGAGCAGCCCGCCAAAAAGCCCACTACTATCGACACTATCTTAACACCTAGCTGGTGGGATAGTAACGCCGTCTTTGAGGTGGACCTAGCAAAGAAGAATAGGAGGAACGCGCGTAAGCAACAAGTGGTTACAAACTCAAGATGCCCAGCCCAATCCAAGGACACCGAGGTGGAGTCGGCTATGGACACCGATGTAGAAGCCCCGTGGTCCAATGTTGTTAAGAGAGGCTCGAAGAGGAGAAAGACTGCTACAGACGCCCACCCCACCACTGCTGCAGAGTCCATAAAACCAAAGCCGTCGGCAAACGCCAAAAATCCGCCAGCTATTCTCATAAGACCGGCAGAGGGCAAGTCATTCACAGATACTGTGCGCACAGTCCGCTCGTGCGGCCTGTCAGCGCAGGAATTAGGCGCCAATGTTACAATGAGGGAGACTCGTGATGGGTCATTGCTACTGGAACTCAACAAAGTGTCAAAATCAGCCACGACAGCGAAGACCATTGCCGCTGCTATTAGTGCAAAAATCGGTGATTCCGTAGGAAGGGTATCACAACTAGACGTACAGACCGAGGTCGAGATCCTCGACCTGGACGCTGTCTCCACCACAACGGAAGTTCTGGAGGCACTGCGTTCAGCCATTCCCGGTCAAAACGATCCGGTGGCCCAAGCGGAGAGGGACAGTATTGGAGACGTCCGGATTTGGCCAACTCGCTCGGACCACAGATCGCTACTGCAAAGATGACCAGATATGCCGCATCCCTTATAATCAAGATTGCTGTGGGATGGACGATGTGCCGTGTACGTGTCAGGACCCTGCCGCCAGAGAGATGCTTCAGATGCCAAGGCTTCGGGCATAACTCTAGGAGCTGCACGGAACCCGATAGGACGAGTGCGTGTTGGAAGTGTGGCCTCACGGGACACTTGATGAAAGACTGCAAGGCGCCGGACGATAGCTGCCTGGCTTGCGAACTCGCGGGTCTCCCAAAGATTAGTCATAGACCGGGATCGGGCGCCTGTGCCGCCAGAAGGAAGGTCAGCGGGGCAAATAAAACCATCGATGCTTAACTTAATTCAGATAAACCTAAACGGGAACTGGGCGGCTGAACAACTTCTCGCCCAAACAGCAATAGATCTGGACGCGGACATCTTGATCCTCAGCGAGCCCTTCACACGGCACGGACGGACGGACAGATGGGCCTTCAGTTTGAATAGGAGAGCTGCGGTTATCGTACTCAGGATTATCGCCTGAGTCACACCCCTTCTACTAAGGCGGTACTCCCACAACCACCACGAGTCCTTCCTCAAGTGTGCCTTTCCCGATGCAGGCGAGCGCGTGTCCTCGGTGAGTCCACGCGGTCGTGCGCCTCGGGTCCGGCACCCCCGGAGCGTCGAGGCTCTATTAGCAAGCCGACTCGACGGGGCTTACTCCGAGTCCTGTGGTACAAGGTTTGAACCCGGCGTTCAGGCCCTCGCAACTGCCTTGTCCGCAAGCATGTCGATCGGGGCACCACTGTGTGTACCGCGACGACCCCTTTATAGCGCGTACGGTTTTGCTCTTTATCGACAGATTGCCGTTTCTGCCAGTGCCTCTCTAGTATCAAGCCCCGAGCCGGCTGAATACGTGCACGTGCTTCGCCCGACGGGTGGAATGGCCCCTCTAGTTCGAGCTCTCGGTCTAGGCAAGAATTTGTTCATAGAGAGTGAGGACACCCAATTCGCCCCGCGAGATGTTTCGTCCGTCCAGTCACTGAGGAGGTCGGGCATTCAGTTCGTCCCACCGGGTATCCCGTCCCTCGATCCCGGCTAAGCGGGTCGCCGGGGCAAAGAAAACCATTGATGGTTAATTTTATACAAATTAACCTTAACGGGCACTGAGCGACTGAACAGCTCCTCGCCCAAACAAACGTAGATCTTGACGCAGACATCCTCGTTGTTAGCAAGCTCTTCGCGTAGCATGGGCGGACAGACAGATGGGCTTACAGTAAGGACAGAAAAGCTGCGATGGGAGTCTCAGCTCGATCCGGATGTGTGCCTACGGAAATTGGCTCGAGCCTTGGATTCGCTTGGATGTGTGTCAAGAGTATCGCTGTGCTTAGCTGTTACTGAAGACCAGGGTCGCCTCTGGGGGAGTTATCCACCTTCTTGGACAACCTCGCTGATAGTATGAGGTCACACGGCGGAGACAAGGTCGTCGTGTGCGATGACTTCAATACATGAAACGTGGAATGGGGGTCACGCGTCAACACCTCGAGAGGAACACTCCTATCGGATCTCGCGTGGGGCCAAAGGCTAGTATTCGAGAACAGAGGCTCACCACCTACTCCAGGGAATAGGCGTCCTCATGCATTGACGTCACCTTCTCAAGAAACGTGGCGGTCTCAGAGTGGTGAGTGATAGAGGAAGATTTACTAAGCGACTATCGGTACCTGGTTTTCTCTGCAGACGCCCATCCGCCATGGCCAGTTCTCGCGATCAGGGCCATACCCTCGAACGCGCATCCAGGTTGGTTAGTCAAGAGGAGGGATTCGTTAGTCTTCGCAAACCATGTCGAGACTCATCTGCTGACTGTGGCACGGGGGGACTCCTCACGCGCCCTCGACGATTACCTGATTGAAGCCAGCGACGTCTTCATGCCGCTGAGGAGAAAAGGTCCAGGCGACAAGTTTCCCGTGCACTGGTGGTCGAAAGACATTGCCGAATTAAGAAGGAGAGTATTTAGCTGCTGTAGGAGCTACCAGCACTCCCTCCGTCGTCATGGAACCCAGGGCTCTGGTGAATTAAGGATCGGCATCCTAACAACCAGGAAGGACCTGCGCTTAGCTGTAAGGAAAGCAAAGGACGAATGCTGGCAGTAGCTTTGTGAAATGGCGGAGTCCGATCCATAGGGTAGACCTTACCGGAACGTGATGAAGAAGTCTGGTGGCAACAACTTGCGCATGGCTTCTCTCGGCAGGGATTCGGCAAACGCCGATCACCTCTTTCCGGCCACTCTGGTAACGGATTGGAACTTAGCTCCTCCCGCCTTCACGGCCAACCTTTTTGACGCCTTAGACCCGGACACGGACGAGTTCACCTACGAAATGGCTATCCCGCCTTTCGAGTCTGCAGAACTCAAGAAGGCCTGCACCAGATTTTTGGCGGGTAAAGCAGGGGGTCCTACAGGCGTGCCCAACGAAAGAGACCACGTTCAATTTGCCGCAAAAAAGGCCATGGCATTGGAGACGGCTCTCGGAAGAATTATGCCGAACATCAAGGGCCCCGAACATCTTTCCGTGTGTTACGGAGTCCAACCAGATTTTCCGAGTTACCCCGGAGACAGTTGACCACTATATGTAACCGCGAGGCTATCTGTTCCGGGTGAGAAACCTGGAAATTTATCTGGGAGACCCTTCCGGGGCACCACCAATCATGTCGCTGAAAGAAGAAGAAGAGAGGGCTTGCAGAGTGCTCGCATTCTCAAAAGAATATTATTAAGTTTATTATTATAATTATGTTTAATACCTTGTCTTGTTACTATTATTAAGTGTCACAATAGTAGTGTAAACATGTATTGTTTAGTTTCCTGAGTGTAATTTGTAATTGTATCAAACTGTATTGTAACGTATTGAAATCGTATACTACGCCTGTGAGCGGGTAAGCCGGGAGGGACTATCCCCGTTCTTGCTCCAATTTAAA